AAAAATGGTGTTGTTTTACACTACCATTGAGAAATTTTAACCAAACTATGTTACAGACTTTTCATTAAGACCCTAAAGAATCATATCAACTTGTGGAAAATGGACATCCCTTTAAAGGGTTAGTTCACCCAAAAATGAAAATTCTGTCATTAATTACTCACCCTCGTGTTGTTCGAAACCCGTAAGACTGTCGTTCATCTTCGGAACACAATTTAAGATATTTTTGATGAAATATGAGGGCTATCTGACCCTCCCATAGACAGCAAGGTAACTACCATGTGCAAGGTCCAGAAAAGTACCAAGATGATCGACAAGTAGTCCGTGTGACATCAATGGTTCAACTGTAAAGTTACGAAGCTACGAGAATACTTTTTTGCACAAAGAAAACAAAAATAACAACTTTATTCCACATTTTCACTCGTCACTTGTGGACCCGCGTTCACGACAGTATCATGACACGAGCAAAAAAGTATTCTCGTAGCTTCGTAACTTAAATTAAATTGTGCTCCGAAGATGAACAAAGGTTTAGGGGTTTGGAACAACACGAGGGCGAGTAATTAATGACAGAATTTTCATTTTTGGGTGAACTAACCCTTTAAACCACAGTAACCCCAATAACAGCATGTTTTCACTGAGTAAATAATAACAGGAGTTACATTTTTTGGTGAACTATCCATTTAATGTCCAATGGAATGGAACCAACTGAGGAGAGTATTAATATTACAAAGACAAAAGATTAACGATAAGTAAATCATCTGAAAACGAGGGCAGCACAGTATTAGAACTGCATCAGTCTTAGGCCTGTCACAATAATCAATATATTGACTTATCGCGCAATATATGTACATGACCTCAATAATTTTTGGTGACGCAATATATCGCCCATTATATTTACTTAAAAATTAATGTCACCATGTTTTGTAAATTCCACTTGCGCCTGTGTCTTTTGCAGCTTCTCGTACATAACGTGGTGTAGCATCTGGACCAATCAAACACACAATATATATTTTGTTAGCTATATTTAACAAATACTCTGTAAC